CTGGAAGGGTGCTTTAGATGTGTTTAAATACCACTGAAGTCAAGGGGCTTAGCACATACTTAAAGAAAAACACATACTTAAGTATTCTCCCGAAACAAAGTCTGAAGCTGGAACTAATTATTTTCAGCTGCATGTTAGTTGCTCCCTGTACAGCTTTTGTAAAGACTGATGGAAACCGATAGACATTAAATCAGTGCCGCACCCTAGGTGGATGCAGGTGTTCCAATGTACAGGACTATCTTCTGTCTTGGTAGAATAATGGGAGTGAAATAAATAAAGCAACACAGGCCTGAAACTGTGTGTGTTGTGGCCTCAGCCAAGGCTGAGTCTTTTGCATTGCAGATCCTGAAAATGACCGTTAGTAGCCTGTCCAGACACTGAAAGAACTGCAAAAGTTTTCAGGTCAATTTGGAACTTTCTTCCTCTCTCTCAGAGGGCCCTTAGTGCATGTTCCACTGCTGAGATTACTCAAGATGCACTCAGTTATTTCTGGGGGTCCACCTAACCATGTTCAACCTTTTCTTGTTCACTTCTGCAACTTCTGTATGAACACAGTGATAATTCAAAGGACCCTACGTGCTCAAGAGCATAGTCTGGAAGAGATACCAGCATCACCTGCCAATCCTCCCCACTATTGCAGGCCATTTTCATATAACTCCATGCATGAACACATCCAACTCAGTTTTAAAACTGGTAAACTGATCAACTTACCCTGCTGCCAGGCTGTTCAAGGACCTTATGAGTTTGTCAATCTGAAAGAATCTTCTTGGTTGGATGCAAACAAACACTTAACAGAGAGCAAGTGCCCCATGTGTTATTTAGGCACAGAAAAGCATTTCCATTTCACTTTTTAGTTCTTGAAAACTTCGGTACTCTATTGGATTTTAGTGACTTAATAAATGAAAGTAGTGGAATGCCTGAGTTCCATATCTTTCCAGAAAGGATGGTCCCTGCACATACAAATATCATCTCTCTTCTAAGATGGGGAGAAATTAATATAAAGTGGGCTCTCAATGAAGTCAAAGAGAAACCGAGCTATTTGAAAACCAGGGTTCCACCAGTCATATCAAGAATATAGTATGCTTGGGGAAGACAAGCATGAAAATTTTTGGCTGACTGTGACAGTCTCTCGACTCTTTTAGCTGCTTTTTCTAGATACTCAGAGAATTCAGGATCCAGTCAATTACTCAATCCACTGTCAGCCAGTCAGGGAGCAGAACGTTCAGGACTGTAGCTCAGTCGTGTAGCCCAAGAGAAGACAACAGACTACTTCCAGGAGTGAGATTATGAGCATTCAAAGACTGAATGATCTTTGCCCTAAACATTTGCCAAATACACACAACTAATGAATGAACTGGTGGGCACTGCAGGATGCTTGTCTATGACTTAGAAACAGGAAGAGAGACTGAACTGATAAATTACTGGCTATGTATATTTTGGCCAGCACATTTGACTGTCTAAAGCACTAATGAATCCCTTAATGGTTTTCATTTCTCACAATCCTCCACCAGCAGTAATTCATTTCAATGTTAAATGCATCAGGGACTGTAAATCTGTTTGAAACTCTTCACAGTGAAAGACATTCATTATAAGAAATTAATTACTCTTAAACAATCTTTAAAAATGCATTAAATAAGTGATACCAAAAAGGACCATCTACAGCCTTGATGTTATATGGAAAAAATTGATGTTATGGAAAAAATAATCTTTTTCCATAATGATATATTTAGTTGTTCTAAAAAATCTTCCCACATCTGGTTCTCTAATCGAGGAACTAACTGTGTGATAATAATAATAATAATAGAAAATTTAATGGAAATTACCACTGCCTTTTGTATAAAACCACAGGTTCCTGTGATGTCCATGCTAACAGGAACTGCCTGCCTGCAGTAAATTACATCAGGCAAGGCTATTTGAGTATGCACACTGTGACACTAATTCTCACTGACTACAGTGTAAACGGCACCTGCTTGTGCAAGGGATGAATAATCCCATCATACCAGCAGCCAACTGGAATGTGTTTTGCAATTCATGGACACCTGGAATGAAGTAAAGTTGTGTCAACATACAATGGTTACTACTGTAATTATCTGTGTTGCAGATGGATTTAAGAGCAATCTCTTCGTATTTGGGCATCTTTTTCAGCATGGTGGTGTTTAAATACTAATGAAAACACTGGCTAGCATTGCATGCAAAATAACAGTTAATTAATTGCAAACAGTTCTAAAGGAAAAGCAGATTTATATTTCTCAAAATTAACTCTGATATCATGAGAATGTGAAACTAAAATGGTGTGATTTCAGAAATTCTTCCCATTGGAAAGGGGAACTTTTTTTTTTAAGAACAGCTTCAAGAATTACGTTGCTTCACTAAAAACCTTAAGATTAAAGTAATTGCAAACTGTTGCATTTTTTCTTTGGCTGGCGTTTTTTTGGTTGTTTTGTTTGTGGGTTTTTTTTAATTATTGCAATACTTACCAGAAAAACAATTTTGACTAGTTCAAACTTTGGTTTCCAGGTGTGGCTTAGCATTGCTATGCCAATGGAGCACATATCCTTTCAGTTAATTTCACCAGTGCTGTGAGATCCCTTGCTGGCAGAAAACCCCCTGCACTCAGGGTCAGAGCCGAAAACCCACACCTACCAGCACTGCTATGTCGTGGAGTGCACTCACATTGGTGTTTACCAGCTGGGAGCCACCTGAGGGCTCAACACTGGCCCTATTCAGGTGAAGAAAGGTTTATATGCACCTAATGTGTGAATAAATACATGCATACATACGTAAAAAGACAAAGGGCAGCTTTTAAGGGCAAGCACGGCTGACCGAAACCCCACTTTTCCTTCTTTTGGGATTACTCAAGGAAAAGGGCGAAGAATGAGCACTGCTCCTTAGTGGTATTAGCAGAGCAGGTATTTCGAACAGTTCAATGCTCTGAAGAGTGGAGAGGCTGCACCACTGATCTTGGTGAGGGGTAAGACCTTTGCACTACACACTGGGAGCTAAATCTGAGACTGTAGCAATATGCTATGACACAGGTACGATTCTGTTCAGCTCACCTGCTCAGAGGTTTTATAGAAGGCCACTGAGGCATTGACAAGTTTGAGCCTGTCCTCCATCTTCAGCATCAGCTGCTGCCAGTGCAGGGCCACCTTTTCGGCACACTCTCTGATAGCATCAGCATCGTAATGCCCAGCCTGTAGCAACACTTCGGCTTTCTGCTGGACCTGCAGGGCACTCTGGTGTGTCTTCTGTAAGGAAGTGGCATGAAAGAGGGACTGTGTATGAGGGGAGGAAAGAGAGGTTGTACAGATGTGCCAGATGTATGGTAGAAAGGTGAAGCAAGGCGTGAGCATGGAGATGTGAGAGAATGAAACATTTTCAGAGTTATCTTCAGTTCACGGTTACTTTCTGCAAAGCATTTTAGTTTCAATTATTCACACACATTTGCATCATGTTATTCAAGTCTGGGACAAGCAAGCCCTGGATAAGATGGGTTAGCTCCACTGATCAGCTACTGCCCCCTTGGGCAACAACCCGGGGTGGGGTTCCTGGCGGATCCATTTCGAGAACCCCAATGCAGGCAGCTGTTGTGCTGTTGGGCAACAACCCAGGGTGGGGTTCCTGGCAGATCCATTTCAAGAACCCCAATGCAGGCAGCTGTTGTGCTGAGCTCCCACCCAGCCTGTACTCGGTGCTGACTGCACCCCACACCATCTGCAGACACAAAAGTAAACACCAAAGAGTTGGCAAGCTCTGGGCCTAATCACCCTAATTTGACTCTTGCCAGGCAGTTTGCTGGCATCAGCAGCTTTACCCATGCGTGTAATTATCCTGTCCACAGGATATAAAACATCAACCCCAGAAGACATGAAGATGCCTTACCAAATGACATGAACTATATCACAATATCGGCCCCTACAACATACACTTCTGAAAGTCAGTTCACTCACATTAGAGCTGCACTATGCTACCTTTAAGGGCAGGGCTGGGGGAGTCAAGCCATTTTCTCCATTGTTTCCCAATTTACTCAGTAGCCACTTTACAGGCAGAACTGAATTATCTGCTCCATTCCCCAGCCTACACCAGCTCCTCTCAGAGTAACCAAGTGGTAGCTACACCTTTCTCTGTGAGTTTCTGAGAGGAAAATAGCCCCCAGCCCTTCACAACCTCCCAAGTAACTGTTCAGGCATGGTTTAGTCCAATATTTGATTTTAACTTTCTGAACAGAAGCCCTAAAAATCCCAAAGACTCCTCTGTTCTGCATCCCATTTGTAACTGCTGCTGACAAATTCTCATGTGATACTTTCATGATCTAATCCTTGAACCTGGAAAGAAGCTTGAAATCATCTGGCAATACACTGATGAATTATGCAATGTAGAGAAAGCTATTTGCAAAAAAAGGGATTAATACTTGGCAGAAACATTTAGGAAGATCTTCAAGAACAACTGGTTAAATTTAATATCCATCTGCTTTACTGATGTTAGAGTCGTAATACTTGTTTTAAATAGACTTTAAAGGATTTCAACTGAAAATCAATTCCACATCTAGAATGCCTTTAGAGAACAGTCTGCCCTGTGTGCTTTGCTGATCTCTTCCCCATATTGAGCTTTAAACACTTTAAATATTTAATCTAGTGTTTTCTCCCTTTGAAAACTTATTTTCCCCTTACTGTGGCATAACCCTCTTCTCCCTCTGTGATTTGCATTTACCACCAAATACAAGCACTTCCCCAATGGCAGCAAGCTGCGAAAACACAGCCAGTGAGTGTCTTGTTCCCCGCTGCTGTCTGGTGACGGCTGCCAAGATGTGGTCAGCACAGCTTGGTATCAGCCAGCTCATACAGAATTGATAGAAAACTTCTTCATTTTCCCTTAGGATTGGCAATAGCTGCTCCTTCCTTAGTGTGAATGGAGCTGGATCAAAACAGGTCACTAGCTGAGATTTAAACTCTATACCTACTAGCAACACTATAATGTATATTAACTTATTTAAAGTTTACCAGAAGACACAAAGACACGTTTCCCACCATACATCAGGCATTTCTTACAACCTCCATTACGGAAATACTATTTTCATAATTTAAAGTTTAGTTTAGTTTTGGTTATTTTCAAATATATATAAAACACAGCAAGGGATTTTCTAACTTGTTCTTTGCTCTGTATAAAGGTAACAAAATAACCTGGGAAGCACACACATCTTGTTAAGCAGGAACAGGAAAAGCAATGACCCCTTTTTCTTGAAACCGGAGCGAGCCCGCCCTGTGAGTGTAGGGTTTGTTCATAATGACAAAGATAGATAAAGCACTGAGCCTAACCATGAGCCCTGTAGCACCCTACTCAGCAGAGTCCTTAGCCCTCCACTACTTCTCATTCCAAGGAAACCAGCTCAGAGGAGCTTCCTGACATGTCCTGGCCCCATGAGTGAGGCAAATGAGTTTGTGCACAATTAGTTTTCAAGGGCCAGGTCAAAGATGTGCTTCTCCAGGGCAAGGAGGGGCAAGAGCTCAGTTTTACAGGCAATTCTTAAAAATCACCCCTTCTTCCTTTTCTTCAAAGTAAAGTTATTTGAAAATGTGGGTTTGAATGAATGTCTCTTTTGCTGTCAACAAAAGGAGACTGGAATGAAACAAAGGTTTAATGTGAGAGCTTTATCCAGTAACAAAGATATTAATAAATGAACACTGTGAAATGATCTGCAAATAGTGGACGTGGGAAGAAATTGACTTCACAAAATTTCCCATTTTCTGATCACTTTGTGAATTTTAATCTTCTTATTTTTTTATCAAAGAAATTATCAGGAGATCTGTGTGTCTCATTTTCATGAACGGAAAGGCTGATACCTGACAGACGAAGAACTAGCTGCAGACAGTAAATAATTTATTTTACTCTTAACCTCTGGTTGCATTACAAATTTAATGATAAATTGATTTTCTAAAGTTTTTATTCCTTCTGTTCCTTCAAGCAAGCAACAACAGATGCCCAAGAGATAACCTTTTGTATGATGTTCACCTGGGAAGGAGAAACAAAGTTAACTTATTGGTGTTACCTCTATGGCCAGCTGAAACTGCTCATGCTCTCGCTGGAGCTGCTCAGCTTCAGAGAGGGAGCTTGCATTGACAAGGCTTGCATTCAGCATTGATTCACCATTCCGGATCCAGCCAAGCACCTGTAAAGAAAGGATGTGCTTATGGAAAGGTTGCTTCAGTACAAAAGTTTATGTAGTCACTGATCGGAA